TGGTTAGCCCTTTAGTTAAGACATCTGCAATCTGCATCTCTGAGGGAGTGTAAGGAATGCAGAGTTCTCCTGAGACTATTCTTTCTCTAACRAAGTGAYGGTCTATCTYAATATGTTTTGTTCTATCATGTTGCACTGGGTTATTTGCAATGTTGATGGCAGCCTTGTTGTCGCAGTACGACTTGAGAGGACACTCAATCTTCACTCCCAGTTAACCAAGTAGAATCTTAAGCCACAACAGTTCCGCAACACCATGAGCCATAGCCCGATATTCAACCTCTGCGCTAGACCTGGCAACCACATTCTATTTTTTACTTCTCCATGTAACTAAGTTTCCTCCAACAAAGGTGCAGTATCCTGAAGTCGACTTTCTGTCACCCACAGAACCAGCCCAATCTGCATCAGTATATCCTTCAACTTCAATTCTATCATTTTTTCTGAACAGAATCCCTTTCCCAAGGCAAGACTTCAAATATCTAAGAATCCTTTCTACAGCTTTCATGTGAGGAATTTTTGGATTGTGCATGAATTGACTGACAACATGAACAGCATAAGCAATGTTAGGACGAGTGAGGGATAGGAAAATTAACTTCCCCACTAGCTTTTGGTATCTTTCCTTATCAAGGTAGTCCTCTCCTACCGACTCCTGTACACCATGGTTTGGTTCTATTGGAGTATCTGCTGGCCTGCACCCCAACATGTCTGTCTCTTGTAGAAGGTCAAGGATGTATTTCCGTTGACATATATAGATGCCCTCTTTGGATCTAGCAACTTCAATCCCTAGAAARTAYCTCARTTGACCCAGGTCTTTGATTTCAAATTCAGCAGCTAGGACCTCCTTCAGCCTTTTAATCTCTTCCTTATCATCCCCAGTAATTACCATATCATCTACATAGACGATAAGAGTTGTAAGTTTCCCATTTCTCTTCCTTATGAATAGGGTATGATCTGCCCTGCTTTGAGTATAACCACCTTTCTTCATGCCTCCACATAGCTTCTCAAACCAAGCTCGAGGGGACTATTTAAGGCCATATAGTGCTTTTCTCAGTCTACACACTTTCCTGCCAAATTCATAACCTGGTGGAGGATCCATGAATACCTCCTCATGTAGATCGCCATTTAAAAAGGCATTCTTCATATCCAGCTAATGAAGCTCCCACAAGAAATTTGCAACTAATGATAGTATAACTTTGATAGTGTTGAGTTTTGCTACCGGAGCAAATGTTTCTTTGTAGTCAATTCCTTCCTTTTGAGTAAATCCCTTTGCTACGAGTCTAGCCCTGTATCTTTCAATGGACCCATCCTCCCTATGCTTCACAGTGAACAACCACTTGCATATTGGCCCTTCTGGTGCTTCTTATCTTTCCTCAATGCAGCTGGTTTCAGATGAGGATAGAGAACCCAACAGGTCTCTTTCACATGCCTTTCTCCCCCATAGTGAGTACACTTCAGATGTCTCTTGTCAGAGAACTTGTTCCCCCTTTGATTTGTAGAAATTAGGGTTGAATGTCGTATAGACTGTTCAACTAGTTTAGTCTGAGCATCAACTTGCATCTCTTTTCTTCTCACCTCTTCATTTCTCACAAGGTAGTAGACATGATGTAAGTCGGGCATCTCATCTCTTCCCAGAATTTGGGACCTTATGTTCTCATATATTGGATCTAGGCTAGCCAAAAAATTTGAATGCTCTACCCTCTTCAACTTGTTTGTCATGTTTCTCCTTGTCTCTGGCATTCT